CGCCGCACCGGGGGCGGGCGCGCCTGAGGCTCCTGCCGCCGCCCCCGGGTGCAGGCAGACGCTGAGGCCGCCCACATAGACCCAAAGGCTCTTTTAAGAGCCACTCCGTGCACAAGAAAAGGAGCTGTAGCACTCTGAAGTGATCGTAGTTGTTGAATTATTTACTGCACGGTACCTCTTTTCTCTCCTGCCAGTCTTAAAAGTTCCTCCTCCTCCATCCCCCGCCACTTTTTTGGGGAGTAATTATTTTCTTTGGCGTAACTGGATTCCATCCCCCCAGCTTTTTTTCTCCCCACACTGTAACATTTGATTTGTAGCCCGGGCTAGCTACTCCTTTGATTCTTTTTGCCTTTCTTCCGTACCTGTGTATGACCGTCTTCTTCCCCAACTGCAAATTTCCTGCCCCGCGATTCGCTGGGATGCTTTTAACTCCCCTTCAGAGTTCGCAAAGCATCCCAGCGAATTGCGTTGCAAGGATTTTAGTTTGGGGGTGTGTGGAGGATGTTTATACACAGACACAAGCAAACACTGAAGGGGAGTTAACAGCACCTTTCAAACACGTCGGGAGAGCTGGCCAAAGCATTCCACGCACAATAAAAGGTATTAACAATTTTGTAGCTGTTAGGATTTTTCCTTAATATGTTATCTTTTCTGTTTCGTGTTTTACCCCCCTCCCCATTCTCTAATGCTGGGTTATACTTAACCTTTTTTCTTAGAAAAGTTTTACTATCGAATACCAAATTACCAGGTATATCAAAAGCCTCGAACTGTTTTCACAGAAAGAGCTTACTGCAGCAAGCAACAGGGTGCCGTGCTTTTAGCCAGGCAAGGAGCTATACTGAAACTGTTTTTCTGTTATGGATAGAAATCATCTAAGTTCATATTTTTCAGAATAGTAGTAACAACATTTTAACCTAAGGAAAAGCATTTCATACCCCCCCGCCCTTAAAATCTTAACTAATGAGACTAGAACGATTATATTAAAACATGTTTAATAAGCTTAATATACACAAAACTAAAAAATGTATTTTGCTTGCATACTTTTGCTAAAGCATACAAGCATTGTACTTTTTAAATGATAATATAATACCGCAAACAAAGAAGTACTGTACAGTAAATAATTCAACAACTACGATCACTTCAGAGTGCTACAGCTCCTTTTCTTGTGCACGGAGTGGCTCTTAAAAGAGCCTTTGGGTCTATGTGGGCGGCCTCAGCGTCTGCCTGCACCCGGGGGCGGCGGCAGGAGCCTCAGGCGCGCTCGCCGCGGATGCGGCGGGCGAGCTGGATGTCCTTGGGCATGATGGTGACGCGCTTGGCGTGGATGGCGCAGAGGTTGGTGTCCTCGAAGAGCCCCACCAGGTAGGCCTCGCTGGCCTCCTGCAGCGCCATGACGGCCGAGCTCTGGAAGCGCAGGTCCGTCTTGAAGTCCTGCGCGATCTCGCGCACCAGGCGCTGGAAGGGCAGCTTGCGGATCAGCAGCTCCGTCGACTTCTGGTAGCGCCGGATCTCGCGCAGCGCCACCGTGCCGGGCCGGTAGCGGTGCGGCTTCTTCACGCCGCCCGTGGCCGGCGCGCTCTTGCGGGCCGCCTTGGTGGCCAGCTGCTTGCGCGGCGCCTTTCCGCCCCTCCACTTACGAGCACTCTTC